TTGTGTTTCATTTTGTACATGTACAATATGACACCGTTAAAACAGATAGACATTTTTCGAAAACTCGTTCGCAAAAACTCCTTTTCTTTCATAATTTTTAAGAAAAGAATTGAACGAAACAAAAGAGGGTTTAGAAGGAATCTCGGGAAAAGATAAGCGTTAGATACAGTTTCCTTTTCGGGAAACTCGTTTAACATCTTCGAGAATACGCTTTTTTTAGCGAGCATTTAATTTTCCGTAAACAAATACTACAGTGGATACAACCGTCAATAGATAACTATCGTTCAGATTCTAGTAGGATCATATTGTGAGTACGTGTTTCCCTATGAGAAAAATTACTAAATTGAAAATTAAACCTTGACGGATCGAATCAACAAAAGTTTAAATGCTTTATCATTTTATGTTTTCATGTTTTGAAATATTTCAGCATTTTTCTCGATTCTATTATCAAAGTTTTATTTACATATTTACTTTTGAAGTTATTCGTGGTACGTTAGTCGGTGATGTGGATAATTAATAACAGCTGATATTTTTAAGAGCCGTTCATTGTGGGAAAAGTTTAGTACCGGTAAATAATATTGATCGTCGGTAGATATAAAGGGCAATTAAAACGTCTAATTGGATATAGTTATACCAGTTTAATGACAAAAACACAGTTTGCTATCAAGCAGCAGAGGACTTACTCTTTTCAATGTCGAACTGCTATATCCTATCTTGCGTTCAACGTTTAACATTTACACGTTCATTTTGATAATATTCTGTGATTTAGAGATGATACCGAAAACTATTGATGTTCTTCTCCTAGATTCGATCTTCCAATCCAACTTTTTTTTTTTCAGAGATGATACAATCAATAACAATTCTATTCTTTTTTAGTTGCAAAACAGTAAAAATAGAATGAATTTTTAGCCAGTTCTTGTAAACTAAACAAAATTTAATAAATCAATTTAAACTTTCTATTTTAACCACATTCATTCGAATTATTCAATTTAGTTTATTAAAAGAATTTTCCTAAAATGAATTCTTTTTGAAATAACTGTTGTCAGACAATCAAAAACAATCTCTTTTCGAACTTATTTCTACTCTCGAAAATTTTGCTTTGGTTCCATTATTTCAAGAACTCTTTATTTGAATGCTTGTGAAATCAAAGCTTGCAAGTCGATTAAACGGAACCATATGATGCATACTCTTTTTAGATATTCAGTTTTGGTAGTCGATAAACGGATTAAAATAATACTGGGATTATCTGAGCTCTTTTCTTTCTGAGCTCTTTTCATACGTTCATTTTTTTATTTTTATTTTAACTATTTGATGTTAAAATAGACATAACATTTTTTCTCTCTCTCGATGATAACTGATCTTACGGCAAATATTCTGTTTTGTTTTTGTATGACCAAAATAAAAACAACATGAAAAAAATTTAATGATAACAAGACAAAAACAAAAAAATGAGAGTAAAAAACAGCCTTTTATATCTCTTTATTTTATTTTATTTTTTTAAGCTTGATTTGAGTTTGGACCACGTCGACGACCGAATGCCGATACTTTATTAACAAAACGTTGTTTATATTGCATTCGTCTTTTAGCACGACCAGTCTTTTTCTTGTGTTTTTCTATTGGAGCAACCTAAGAATGAAGAAAAAAAAATACCATTAAAGGCTGTTAAGTTTTAAAACTGTTGACGATCAGATAAAAGTATCCCTTAGATCGAATAAGAGCACAGACGAATTTTAAAAGAAACAAAGGCAATTCTGAAAGAACCGTGATGTACGTATCAAAACTGTCAAAAGAAAATTAGCTAAACATCGCAAAACTGGTTTTTAATGAAAAAGTTGAAAGTATTTTTTTAAAAAAATATCTGTCAATCATCCATCCTCATTTCTAAATGAGCGAACCATTCTAGAGCTCCTTTACATCCTAAAAAATCTCTTTTTTGTTTAAGTATAAAACAGAAAGCCACTTACTTTAGGTGTTTGACCTTTAACTTTACCAGCTCGAGCTAACGAACCGTGTACTTTTCCTATAAAGAGAAGAAAAAAGACGATTATGAAATGAACTCATGCAAATCTAGTTCAATCACAAATAGTTGTGAATACTCAATGAATTATCTCAAAGCATCGCACTTTTTACCAGTTTTTCAGATTAGACACTTGCGGTAAACTCATACCTCCAAAAAGTTTGACACTGGCATCAATTGTAGCGCCTGGTGTAATTCCAAAACTTGATAGATTTTGATCATCTCCCAATGGTACACCATTAAAACTAAGGAGAATATTGTCGATTTCAAGTTCATATTCTTCTGCGATGGTTTCCTACAATAGCAA